AAAAAAATATATTTGAATTTACTTTAAGCCTACTTCAAAACACATTGTTAACGCAATACTTCAGTAGCCAATACGTGCGTATTAAGTTGCTGACCCCGCCCACCGAGATGAGTTCGCGATATCATGGAATTAAACCCATAGCACTGGCCGCTGACAAAAATTAGTTATCGTATTGTTACGAATTCTAAATTCACTTGTAAGCACTGACTATGCGGTTGCGCTTGAAGCCAATTAAATTCGTATATGCCAATCACGGGCATTAATACCCTTCGGTGACTTACCCAACATAGTCCGCATTCAGATTAATTCTGACCTATTTAAGCCATTTGATGAGAACCATTCTATCACAACTCGTAGCTAAACTCGGAAAAAGTGCGCCAGTGAATTGATACTACGTGAAACAAGTTTGTTGTTGTTGAGACGAACTCGACTGAAGAGCTCGACAAAAGCTTTGAAAACGATACGGCATTTCACAGTGGTGATCGCCTTTAAGGTACGCAACGCTATCGCCCATGAGAGCTAAACAAAACCTGATCTCGTCATATTTTCTTTACTCGAGGAGACATATTTCTTGTCGCATAATATTTTCATGTAAATTCCATGGTAATTTTCCGTTGTTTCTCGGCCGGTGGGCATTTATAAAAGAAGGTATAATAATTTTCACGATTAGTTCTTGCTCAGTAATTGCCGTGATGAGTAGGCCCATGGTCAGTTCATGAATTTTGGACCCGGCTACCTCCTCATCGTTGCATCACTCCAAGGACAGTCGAAGACAATTGTTGATTGTTTTTTCGTAAATCTAACAGTTGTTACTTTTCAACATAAAAATATTCCTTTTACAGGGTCGAAGTTGTTGTCACCTGCAGCGAAATCCAATAGTGCATTTACCTGGCGTAGACGCTAACCTAACGGGCGGGAAAGATAACCCTGTGATTTTAGGCCTGGACCTCATCAACGTCAAGACAGGCGAATATTGCATTGCTATCGCGTAGGTTTCTTTTCAACGTCTGCAAGAAACGCATCAGTAGTGCGAACTTGGCGTATAACCCGGGGGCAGTGACAGGCTCCCCGCTTGGATCAAAGCTCACGCTAAAGCCGAAACATCAAGATACCTGTCGAGAACCTGGTCATCCGATCTTGGTAGTGCTACTAGAGAAACAAAGGTAATGCATACATACTTTCACTGACTACCTTTACAACTCATCTTAATACAAGTTGGGGAAACAACTCTTGATATTTAGACTGATATTTGCTAGTGACTGATAGACATATTTTGTAGGACCCTCTTTGCTTTGTATCTCTTCGGTTTGGTAAAGGTGCTTTTGAACATGATCATATAGAAAACGGTAAGTCTCGGACACACTTCGTTTGAAACTTTAATGTGGTTTATTTTGAAGGTCAATTGTACTTTTAATGTTGTGGTCTCTGATGCAATAATTAAATGGCCTCGAGTGAGTATTGGAGGATAAGAATGGTCTGAGAGTATCATACTTTTTGTTATGTGTTTCAATAAAAGAAATACTTGTAATAGTTTGTATATATTTGCAAGCTAATGCAAAAAGTATCAAATTTCAATTTGTCATGAAGTTAATCCATCTTATATATTTATTTAAAAATTTAAAATAAGTTCGTATCTTTTTATTTTATTAAGTTAGGTTACGATATGTTGGTAGGCTTAGTCAGACGCCTTTTTCCTATTTAGTTAATTTGTCTTCCACGATGACATTTTTTTTTTAAATAAGAACACATTTTATAAGAACACATTGAGGCTGAGGTAAAATATCAAATGAGAAAAATAGAAAAATCAAGACGTCTTATCTGTACCTCATTTACAGTAAGTGCGACTATGTAATGCCCTAAAAAATACAGTACAGTAATATACTGCAGTGCAATATCAGTAATAAGTTTCTATTTTCGAAATGTGTAACAATAAGAACAAAATAAGAACATTTTGAGCCTGAAATCTGCAAAAAAAAAACGTATATCTGTCTCTTATACACATCTAGATGTGTATAAGAGACAGATATATAGCTGAATTTGAACTTTCTATGCTTTCAATCTAATATTTTATTTGTCTTTTTTTCCCTTAACCTTTAACTCACCGTTGCTTCTTATTCTGTCCTTTATTTGTCTGTAAATACCCAGTTGGAATTAGATTATTTGTTCTTTCTATGTTTCATATATTCATATTCAACCCTTCATTCTATTTTCTTTTCTGCTGTAAGGTACGGTATGTTAATTGCACTGTTTTTCAATAAACAGAAAAATCTCAAACAGTAATTGAATAAAAAATTTTCGCTGTCTTCTTAAATCGTAAAATGTTATCAGTCTATCAAACCGTGCTTTCTATAGGAAGCATACATTTTTGTCAACCACCCTTGAATTTGCAAGTTAGCAAATTACAGTATTTCTGTAATATTGTTTCTATACATAAACATTATTAATATTTTAAACTCTTTTTGTTCAAGTGTTGTGTACTACACTTTAAAGGGTATACTAGTATTAGCTGAACTTTCTTTATTTATGCAACACTTGGGAAAGTGCTGTCGATCGGAGGCGTGGCTTAACCAAATAGAAATATCTTATATCCTGCTATTTGGTTATACGAATGATGTAGCAGACCTACATATTTTAACATTTTTGTCCTCATTCAATTTACCGCTACTAATATCATACAGCACCTTGCGGTCTTGCCACAACCGTCCTCCCCAGGAAGAGGCATGACATCATTACAATATTGAATACTCTGTTCGCCTGCTGAAGTCCTCCTGGCAGGACGGGAAGACCGAGTGGACGGTGGTTTTGTGCTCATCAGAGCGTGAAGACCACAGTAAACAATAGGGCGCTTAACCCGAATTTCCGTTGTCGAAGGTTCCCCGTCCTCTTGCGTAAAGTGCCTATTATCAGAACCTTTGCGACGACATTGAGATACGAGCGCATGTCACGGGCTTCTCTGTGTAGCACTATCAAATTTTAATAGGCCTAATCGGTTTTTTATCGTTTATCATGTTATATCGTTTAGATAAAATGTTAATTTAGTCTATGAAGCATGCCAATAAGATGTTTATTAATTAATGATACCTTCGTATTGTTACCAGACCTCCTAAACCTGATATCTTCGCATTAGCAAATCTGGGAATTTGGTATAAATTCATCAAAGTTTCGTATCATTTATGTAAATATTCATTGAAAAAAACCCCCGAGTTACGTGAACCTTATAATAGGCCTATATTTTATATATATATATTTTTTTAATGATTCTGTAGGCCTACGTTGTTAGATTTTCAATAAATTCGATATAAAGCGCGTAAACTGTGACCAATTAATCTAGAACTGAATCTAAGTGTGAGAAAGAAGTATTTAAGTAGTCCAACTAAGTACCGGTGTATACACATCACTTTATAAAAAAGCTTTTAATGTCTACTTACGTCATAATGAGCAGAGTATATGCATCAGTGTTTGTTCATTCAATATCTTCGTAGATCAGAAAACGATACTCGTGGACAAAATTACATAATCTATCAATATTTTATATCGCTCATTACGGAATCAGGTTGCTGTTTAAAATTTGAGTTTTACACCCCCCACCCCAATAATAATTTTTAAACCCGTTATTTACCATCTGATATCCCTAATCCGAATTGTATCAATCATTAGTCGACGGAAACCTATTACCAAGGTGTTTTCATACCTTTGGTCATCTGAGGGCACCGTAGGTGGTGGATTAACTGACCCGATGTCCAGGTGAAGTAGGACCAGGCCACCTCTAGCCCTGGGTTCATAGCTTGATGGACCGACGTACGTTACCTGGCCTAACCAGTATAATTGGAGGCATTCTCCCAGCCCTTCGTGGGTGATCAAATGCATGATATTATATCGCTCGGCCTAAATGATAAGATAATACACATGTCATAATAAAGAGTGCATATGATGGCAAACACCGGGTTAAAGAACGAAAGCTTTGGGAATGTAAACAAGTATATTAATGATCATAGGTAACAAACAAAATTGTAAATTTTGTTATTGTTTGGGTTACAGTAATTACCAAATACAGGCCTATAGCCTATTTTTGTATGCATGTTTTCCTTGTACATTGGCTGTGTACAGTGTATGTTATTAATATTTGTATTTAGTCCCAGGACTATAACATTATGCAATAGTTATATTGCATAATGTTATTCCTTAAAAATATTTAAATTATACAGTGATATATTTATTTGCAGATAAGTATAGGTAATATAGTAAATGCGATTCAAGCTGGTTAATGGAATTTAACAGATAGGCCTAGGCCTATTTGTCCACAGAAATAAAGAAAAATACACATTTTTTATAACAATTTAAATTAAATATTTGATTCCAAGAAAAATACATATTTTTTTTTATAAGAACAAGTAAAATTTTGCCCAGGCTCAGTGTTTTTATTTACTGTATTTATTATTTTTTTTGCCGATTTCAGTCTCAAAACGTTCTTATTTCGTTCTAATTTTTACATATTTCAATCATACACAATTAGTATTGTACAGCAGTATAATATTACTACTGTACAATTACTGTATTATAGAGAGTATTACATAGTCACATCTACTGCACGTAAGGTACAGATAAGATTTGTTGTTTTTTAGGGTTTTTTTATTTGAAATAAAAATCCATTTGACATTTTACCTCAACCTCAATTTGTTCTCTTTTTGTTCTTAATTTTTAAGCAATTTCAGCTTTAGCGTTCTTATAAAATATGTTCTTATATATTAAAAAAAGTGTGTATATATATATATATATATATATATATATATATGTTTGTGTGTATGTATATATGTATGTATATATATATGTATATATATATGTATATATATATATATATATATATGTATATATATATATGTATGCGTGGAACTAAAGTTATTGTGTAACCATTTCCTTATGAATGTTTTATTTTCTCGTTAGGGCCATAGAGAACAAGAAACTTTAACCTGGTAGTCTGTTGTTTGTAAGCCGTCTATACGATGCTACATATGGAGGAACCGATGTCTGAAGCTGTCGTATATTCTACTCCAACTTGCGTTCAACTAGGTATACCAATGACGGAGTGTTCAAACTCCATGTATCCAATGCGGGATCATAGACTCGAGCACGACACATATTCACTACCAAATTTCATTGAATCTCGTTACCCTAGCTCCATGATGGGGCCTTACCCACGGGTGATCCCGCTATCCGGTCCATTGGGATTTTACGATTTTGAGCCTTCTTTTATTCGCCGACGAAACGAACGAGAACGTGAACGTGTGCGCTGTGTGAACGAAGGCTACGCGCGTCTACGAGAGCGCCTTCCGTCAGACAACCCAGAAAAACGACTTAGTAAAGTAGAGACATTGAGAATGGCGATTAAGTACATTAAACATTTGCAAGGTGTCTTGAGCACAGAAGAACACAAAGAAAACGAAGAAACGGAAGACTATTTAACCAAAAAAGTACAAAAGCACAAATAATAAACGAACAATTTTTAATGTAAATAATGTGAAATAATGTATATTTAATTAGTTGATTACCAAAAATGAGAGAGAAAGATTGGCAGAAGATTTGTATATCGTCATAACAGATGAGTGTTTTAGTGGAACACATTTGAAAAGATAAATCGATTCTTACCATTATGCCAACGAATGTATTATTTTCTTGTTTGTTTATTATATGTTCTTATTGAATATCTAGGCACTGTTTCGGAAAATAATGTTAGGTCGAACTAAGAAAATTAACTGAAAATTTACCCATATCGTGGCTTTAATTGCAGACTTATGTTAAAGGTTGTTAAATGTGCGTTATATTTATTCTGTTCGCGAACGTAGGCGTTGTGTAATTATAGAATTGTTTGTGTATACGCATTGACCTTCGGCATGTATACACGAGTGAAACTACGAGAAGGCAGATCGTAGTTTGTCATTATGCATTTAAATATTAATACGCGCTACGCTTCGTGTAACAGCCAATTACACGTGGATAAATTTTGAACTGACAATGGAACAAATTGTGTAAATTTATAGAGAAACATTAACATTATTCTAATCTTTTATATTTCCAAAACAACATGATTTTTTAATGAGAAAATTGTATGTTAAAATAAATTATTGCCCTACGTTATTCTTTCCAAAATTACCAATTTAGATAAGACGGAATTTTTTTTTTTTTAATTAATTGATTGTATTATTTATTTATTCTTTAATTCATTATGTCAATGTCACTTTTGTATTCATTGCAAAGTAAACATCGTGTAATATGGTTCGTGGTCTGAAAACCTAATTTTACCTAAGTTATTTAGTTAGTTTGCCACTTTCTGGTAAAGCGGCTCTGTATGAATTAATTTTACATAACGAATATGTGAGTGAATAGATTCTGATATAGGTCTACGACTAGGCAAAATAACTATAAAGGAAAAATTAATATTGATATCTTTCAATCAATTTTCCTATTACTGTAATATAAAAAAGCAGTGAACAAAACGGAGGATGATAATTTGACATTGTTAATAAACAGTATTAAAGTCAATAATAAACAGTATTATGCCTACAGTTAAAGATATTAAGTTGTATTTAATATTATATTTACTAATTTATTACTTGATAAATGTAAGAATGTGTAGAAAATGTTCACTGTTTTCGTTGATCGATACATTGATTAAAATGTAACCAGTAGACAATTTTGAAAAGGAATGTGACATTATGAAATAAACAATGTTAAAGGCAATGGGATAAAAATTGTTTTTATAAAACTACTAAACACAAATATATATCAATTTTAATTATATAGCGTCTAGTCTCCTAGCAACAGTAAGAATATATTCTGAGAATATACTTGTCATTAGTTACAATATCTAAAACAAACAGCATTTTGGTTACTGTTATGGAGAATTGAAATAAATTGAATGATTATCTATATCGGTGTGATTTCTTTAAATATATAAAAACTTTCTTTGTTGAACTCAAATCAAGAGTGACTGAAAATAAACAGCCTTTTTAAGGATTTTATAACTGTTTTAATGAATTGCTTGCGGTACACTACGTATACCAAATAGTTCTGAAAAGAACTGTATAGCTTTTGATTTGAGACATTCTTAACAAAAACTTACGTGGTGCAGGGCCGGATTAAAGGGATGTGGGGTCAGGGCCTGTAATTGCAAGTGGGCCTAAATACTCTGTGAGTAAAACATTAATCCAGATTTTCGGTGATTCTTCCTGGGGTTTGGGGACCTATTTTTCCCCATTGGGGCCTGGGGATGGCGCCCCAAAAGCCATTATGTTAATCTGGCCCTGACGCGGTATACCGCAAGCGTTTATCATGCCACTTTACCATGCAAATCTTCAAATAATATTTTGTTTTTAAAAGTTGGCACGATTTGCCAAGGTCTTATAATTAAATATCGATGTTGATGTTAAAAGAGTGTGTTATGGATCGGTGATAGTTAACTTATGTCCAATTATAATCGATGTATCTGCAATGCGATGACTGAAAAAAGTCATCTCGTATCTTGTGTGGTATTTCTAACTATATAACGTCCCCAATCCACTTCCCTCCCCAGTCCTTATACAAACCACAATGTGGATCCAATTACTGCAGAGTGTATCACTGAGAGTTGAAACATACATAGACGCGCTACAGTACAAGTGCATGGCCATTGATTATCAATCACTGATACAAAAAAATATCAGTAATTGATCTTCCTGAAGTCGAGCGGTAATTATTATAAACTTGTTCATTCATTCCATTTCATATATAAAATCCATATAACCTAAATAACAACCATTTATCCAATACTATAATTATATAAATATAATAGACCAGAATAATCTGTACAAAAGCAAGTAAATACAATATTCCAAAAAAATCAAATTGAAAGGTTTTTACAATTACGTAATTAAGTGTATAAATGTAATCCATTACATAAACTTTCATATATTTAAACGGCATACAAATCACTTTAATTCTTCCTGTGCACATTATCTAGCGATGTCAGTTAAAAGTAGCGAAGAAAATTTTGACATATATAAGATTTATCAAGTGATAAAAATATTGAATTTCTTAAAGTAAATTTCGGAAGAGAATCGCCAAAGGCAGCATTATTATATCCATGTCATGGGATACGTAAATATTAGGCTATGCTACAAAGGTGCAACCACCTCGGCACCGTGGGAGTACATTACGCGGCACGTAATTCAACAACAGTACAACTAAATATCCTCATTGAAGAAACAATGTAAGGAACATCTAGTTTATTTGTTTTTTCTTTTAACACATAGGCCTAACTCAACACAGGCCTATCCTCAATGAAGATACGATGAAAGGAACATAAATTGTTTTTCCTTTACTGATTACAAAAAAGAACTTTGTTATAATAGTAGATCAATTGATCATCTATTGTTTTTCTCTCAAAAATTTCTATAAAGTCCTCATTGAAGATACAAACATCAAAGTTCCTTTACTAAACGTAATTCAACACAGGGCACATAGGAGCCTTAATCGTCTCAATGAAAATACAATGAAACGAACATAAGTTGTTTTTTTTTTTTTTTGAAAAAAATAGAACTTTCTTGTTAAAGAAGATCTATTGATCATTTGTTGTTTTTCTACAATAATTAAATTTCAATTGTGTGGTAGACATAGGCCTATGATTGCTTATTCAGTTGGCAAATAAGTAAAAAAAAAAGGAATCACACTCGAGTATTGCATGATGAAACGATGATGCTTTAAACTAACATCTCATTGAGAAATTGGAAAAATTGATTTGTTAAAGTCGTGTGTTGGAGGGAATTTTACAGAACTTGGATGACCATGACCATAGATAGGAGCGTTAAACGCCCAGCTACAGCTATGCCGCTAGTTTGGATTATTTTGGCAGGTACAACGGGTACTCGTACGTATTAGCATTGAAGACCAAAAGAAACCCTATGCGCTAAACCACATTGTAGAAATAGGCCTAATTTAGGCCATAAATTCAATGACTGGAAAAGTTTCCTGATGAAGTGTGACGCGACCTCTCATACATGATGTAACGCGTTTATTCAACTAGACTACGAATACAATTAAAACTCGCATTTTCAACTAGGTCATAATATTAGAGAGTAAAATTCTTGCATTTGTCTAAAAATATTCGACGGTTGTATTGCCTTCATGGTTGTTAAAATGTTCCTCTTTAAATCCATGGATCATTTATGGAGCCATATAAAACTCGTAAAACAATTTAATATAGGCCTACATAAAGAAAAAATAACGAAAAGAGTAAAAGTATTAATTAATTACAAAATTGGCCTAAATATTCATTTATTTTTGAAAAAAAATATACAACATAAGTAATATAGCCTTAGGCTATAAACATTTGACTGGAAAGAAAACATAGGACAGTCACCTGTTGTAGACGAACTATATTTTGGGACAGTCCAATTAGAACATAGGCTTAGATGTAGGTCTAGATGACTATACATTCCTGTCGCTTTACGAAAGTTATTGTAGTGTTTGCCTTTCCCACGCCAACTATCTAGTTAGTAGACATTTTTTTTAATAGTTGTTCACAAGGAAAATTACCGATCACAGACAAAAAGTGACAGATAAGTCAATTATGCGCTGTGTAACTTAATTTATTGGAATCTTAACGAACAGTTTCTTTGTCATCACACCTGGGCTGATGATGAGAGGCGTAGTAGGAGGAGTTCTAATAGTCGCCATCATCATTTGGAAGAACACAGAGCCTAGCAGTAGATCGATATCATCATCGCGAGGGTCGTCGTTATATACCCCGAGGCTCACTCTCTCCCAAGGCTATTTTCACGTACCGTTCTACATTGTGAGTTTTCCGTGTACGGACGTGCGTTAAGTATATAATAATATACACGCGTTTCAATGGTTTCCATAGCTTACGAGGTCATAAAAAACGGATATGTTATGATATAGTTTATCTGTGTGCCTTTGCTAAAATAGCATCCTAAATGCGAGCGTACGTGTTTAATGTTCCACTTCGCCAATCAAAATACAGTGTTGTTCTTCATAACAACTATGGAATTGAATACAACTAAAACACATGAAAATGTCTACTGTATTTACGTCATACCGAGAGAAATATGTATTGGTATAACCCAGGCCCAGAGGCGTGGGTTCAAGTGATACCAGATGCCCTGGGCTACGGCCGCTTGACAGGCCAAATACCTCGGCATACAAGGGCCACAACTAAAAGTGCATCGCATTCCCACTGCTTATACTAACAGTAGTTGTTGTGGAAGTCATCGAGTCATCTGAACTGCACTGCATTTCTCTCCTCGATGTTTAGTTTCCAAATCCAAATCATAGTTTCTGGGCCGCGAACTCCTTTTTAACAATTAGTAGTCCATGCCGATGGTTTGGGATTTAGTTTCATATTCGATGTTACAGATAGGAATATTATGAAGATGATACCGGACGTTGACATTATTAGACTTATTGAATTTCTTAGATCTAAGTGGCTCTAACTACAGTTGATGTAATAGTTTAAAACCAGCATTCATTCATGCTAGTGAAAACGTAAACATCCTGTGAACACAATCATTAGTTGGTTGTGATGTAGCGCGTAATCATTTACGCGCGCTGAAAAATTAAACGCGACTGGTAAAACAACTCGCGAGGGAGCCACTAAAGATGGAAAGTACAATCTGTATGCTTTAATTTAAATAATGTAAGTACAGTAATTGTTAAAAATGGGCGCTAATATTAAATGAGTATCAGAGAGTCGAAAACGTCAGCTGATTTTAATGTTTGTAGCTTTTGTTTTTAGATTATATTGATATTCCAAACAGCCACAGGGCCTCTATGCCCGAAAGTTTCCCTGTCCCTCCCGTTTTCACATAGATTCTGTCGCCCATAGCTACCCTATCAATACATATCGTAAGTACTAATGATCGGCGTTCCCTCGGCCGGAATTACAACCAAAACCCAACCATCTTGAGACCCGGAAAGACACCACTATTAGCAACATTTTTACGTCATATCTCCAATGCAACAAGGAAAAAAAAATTTTTTTACTGAGTTGCAGACGTCTTAATACAATCCTTAAATACATTATGAGCCAAATTTATTGGTTTATGCAAAGACTATGAAAAGGTTATAATTTATATGTCTGTTAACTTGAGAAGGAAATATTTACTCGTTCTGATTGAAAGATAATAACTTAATAGTCTACATGAAGTAAAAAAAATAAAATATTTAATTACTTCTTTTTTTCAAATTCATCGGTGCAACACAGACCAATTTTAAAATGTCTTATTGTTGTATTTGTTTTTAAAAAGTTGTTCATAAGTTTGCATGGCAAGATAAACGGAGATTATCATAGCCGTGATGGACCTAATTATTGTAAAATGGTGAATTAAACTTAAAGATGAGATAATTCTATATTTTAACTGTTTGTTTGTAAAGTTATTCCTTTCCAATTGGAAACTTGAATGAACATTTTCACGTCAATCAACGTACAGATAAACAATTCCAAGTTATAATAACGTTGGAGTTTTTTTTAATTTTTTTTTTTAAGAATCAAATAGGCCTATACGTATATTTCCATTTCATGTCATTTCTGATTATGTGACGTTGCAAACATTGCTGCGAAACCACACTTACTCACTAGAATTTTCTTTTGAAATTATTTAGAAACATTTTGGATTTTTGAATTTTTCTGTAATTTCTACACAACGTATTGTTTAGGTATTTTTAAAATTTTTCTTTTTTTTTTTAATATTTTTTTTTAAAATATTTTTCTGCAGTTACTACATGTACACAGGATATTTTGGAGAAACTTATTCAAATTTTTAAAAAACGGAAATATTATCCACACCATCTATCTGAACCTTAAGTTTCATATTTTCTACTACACAAGACATACTAGTGACCATTTAAATAATATGACTGATGGTCAGAGGAAACCAAACTTCAAATGTGTATCCGATGAGAAAGAAATATATCAAAAACATTTTTATTTGAACAACTTTATTGATATATTATTTATTATCCATTAAATAACCTATATGTTAAAACTAAGTATTTGGATAGAAAAGTGAGGTTTTTGTCCAATAAGCACAACAATTAAATCATACTTTTTATCGTAAAATGCCAAGCTTTTACATTATGCGTTGATAGGTTTTTACATTATGTGTTAGAAAGTGTTTTTACATTATGCGTCGATGTTAGAATGCGTTTTACATTATGCGTTAGCAAAATTTTTTACATTATGCGTTGATTTTTACATTAGCCTATTCGTTATTTTTTTACATTAAGCGTCAAAAGTTTTTACATTATGCGTTAACCATTTTTTTTTTTACATTATGCGTCGTTTTTACATTATCGGTTGTTATTACAGGCCCTAGCTTACTTTACATTATTACCTTACTTATGTTGGCTGGTAATATTAACAATTTTGTTGTAATAAAATGTTGTTAGTTTATTATTGTGGTGTACTTATACTGTATCCCACTATTAAGGGATGATTGTGTCGTGAGGGAAGTTTGTAACAGGAAAAGAGAGTGGCAAAGATTCAACCGTGTTTCCGGGATCTGGGTATGACCAAAGAGTATAAATAGAACAAGAGAGACAACAACGCTCATTGAGAGCGTAAAAAATTGTGACGCCCTACGCAGCAGCCAGAGCCATATGGCTCTGGCAGCAGCTAGTGTAGGACGCCAACTAACGCTTGTATGTTTTTTATTACCCAGTACTCCACCGCGCACGGTCGGTTTGTCTGTTTATCTGTTCTCCACAGATACTGTACTTTTGTTTTCTGCAAAGATCTTATAAACACAAGATAGCGTTCTCCGCGATTTACGCGTGCAAATTCTGTAATAAGGCATGAATAGCGCCCTCTTGCGAAATTGGAAATTTTTGACCCTTGACCACTCTGACCATACCGTACTTTACCTTTAGGGTATCAATCCTGTGTACAGCAGAACAGGAACCATCTCAGATCTATGGCAACAGATAGGACGCCCTCTTCCAAAACTGATTACTCTTTCTCTTTGGTATAATAGCGCATGAATGGCGCCCTCTTGCTAAATTGGAAACTTTTGAACCTTGACCGACGCTTCTATTTGTTACGCGTAAATCGCGGAGAACGCTATCTTGTGTTTATAAGGCTACGTTCAGACCTGCGAGATACGCCAGGCGTATCTAACGCCGGGCGTACGTTAATCCATGGCGTAACTAGCGAGATGTCCAGACTGGGCGAATTATGAACGCTAGCGTAAGTATTCGCGCGAAATATTCGTATTCGTAATTCGCGCATTTTATTTTCTGTTTACATCTAGGTTTATTTTGATTGGTCAAATCTTGGCTGAGTTCAAAATCACCGATGCGTGACTGTCGTAAATCAATGGCGTACGCTAATCTGGGGTCTGTTGCTGGATTACCGTACGCCAGTGATTGCGCGATAATACTGGCGTTCGCTACGCCGCGCACAAGTTCGCACCACTCGATTAACGTTACGCTAGCGTAAGTCGTTGTGTCTGAACATAGCCAAAAGCCAAGATTTGACCAATCAAAATAAACCTAGACGTAAACAGAAAATAAAACGCGAATTACGAATACGAATATTTCGCGCGAATACTTACGCTAGCGTTCATTAATCGCCCAGTCTGGACATCTCGCTAGTTACGCCATGGATTAGCGTACGCCTGGCGTTAGATACGCCTGGCGTATCTCACAGGTCTGAACGTAGCCTAAGATCTTTGTTTTCTGCTTACTGAGTTTATAGCGGGCGTACTTCTACCGCGCTGCACTGGGTAATAAACATAGAGATATAATAATAGCTCTATGGTAATAAAAAGAACATACAACCGTTAGTGGGCGTCCTACACAGGCGTGACGTTTTTACGAACGGGACTTTGCTCTCTTGTTCCATTTATACGCTTTGGTATGACTCAATGTGGTAGCAGGTATTCAACGTTGTTGAAAGATGAGAACAACTGTGCAAATATCGAAATTATATAAACAGAATTTTTTAATGAACAATGGTATTTCCAAAAAAATACGGTATTTCCACGGTATCTTTATTTAGCCTTGATGTAATTATCAAATGGGAAACTCCATGGATTAATGTCCATGGATTTTTTTCAGAATCAGTCATTATTGAAGAATATTTCACACAGTCCACACTCACCACCTTAGGCCTAAGCCAACTAGGCCTATCCGTTGAAAATGGTTGCTACTCCAAGTATTCTCACGATCGTCATTACGGCTGTTTTAAGTAAGTACGGTAGGCTTTTATTCTTATAATGGGTCATAAGCAAAAAAAGCGGTATTCGAACGATACTCCAAGAATGATTCAAAGTTATAAGAAAAATAATATGCAAAGCTGAAGTACAATTGACTAATTCTAAGACAAATGGGTGCTTGAATGTTTGAATATTAAAATATGGGGGAAAGCGTTATTAATGCCACTTTTACACCAGTTTTTTAATATTCAAAAATATTAACATTTCCAATTACATGTAACCCCTTTATTGTCTTAAAACATTTATTATAAAACACCCCATGTTTCCCCCGAGCCTATCTTCAAGAGCTAACAACGTTCAGTCACCAGTGGCGGACTGCCAGGGCAAGAAAACATATTTCAGAAGAGTAGGGGGTTACCCCGATGGTTCATTTCAGCCCCTGTTTTGTGGAATGATATGAACATGTACTACCATGAAGCGCCTCTTAACGGCTGTAAAGTAATCACGGACAACGTCCATACACAATTCAAAACATAAGACGCTGCAAGTTATGGGTTATTCTGCTACCCTTTACTAATACCCTAGCATTTCTTGGCCAAAATCTTCAATACCAACCATTACTTTTCGAGCTGATTGCTACATTTCAGTGGAAAGTCTAAGTTTTATTAGTTTTTTACTCTTTAGTCCTTTTAGTATCAGGATATCGCAGTTCATGCCTATCGCGTCGTACTCTCATCTCCCTGCTATCCCCAATTCAGCAGCTTGAATTTCCGCATCTATCAAAGTTACGTGTCGTATATTATGAGGGCAGCATTGCCACTACACGTTCTCGCCATGAGCAGAACAGCCGGTAGCAATTTTTATTAACGTATGATAGTCTGGTAAAATCTCATGAATTATTCATAATCATCCTTAAAGAACATATTTTGCGCATGCGCTATTTTAGGTTACTGGCAGCCGACATAGGTACAGAGAGAGGAAGAAGTACTCCAACATAGTGATGTTATTTTTTTCTAGTGTTAATTTAACACTACGTCACTCTAAAACTTACAGTAGGCCTATTATATCATTCCAAATCAAATAAAGCATTTTGTCCTGTTCAGCATTTAGGCCTACGTAGATATGTAGAAGTTCCGTTATCGACACTGACCTCAACATATAGACAAACGTAATCATCGCAATCAATGCCGTAGCCAGGATTTTCAAACAGTGCGGGACAATGTCAGGGTGGTCCCACTTTACCGTGTAAATTCCAATAATGTGGACCCATTTTTCTTAAATGTGAACCCATTTTACGCAGAAATATGAAAAATCTGGACCCATTTTCCTAAACCTTTAACCCATTTTAGGCTAAATATGAGAAATGTGGACCTACTTTCCAAAATGTGGAGTCATTTTATGCATAAAATTGCATAATTTGGACCCATTTTTAAAAATGTGGACCCATCATTTGTGGACCCATTAGAAAATTGTGTGGGACTGTCCCAACTGTCTCAATAGCTGGCTACGACATTGATCGCAATTTGTCTCTTCCCGTATAAAACAAGCAACTGAATGCATTGTTTTAAACCCTTCGTTATAATAAGGGACACGGTTTTAGAATACGGGGCAGCTTCACACGGGGCGGGTCTCGGATGGTCTGAACAAATCAACCAAAAAATGGGTCGTTGGTCATATAATGCGTTTAAGAGCTATATTCGTATTCCATCATTTAACTTAATTTACCGAGCTATATACGGCATGTGGCCTCCAATTGTATGGCGCTTACTTTATAGTTATACTACATGAGAGGCTCAGTAGGTTTTTGTGTGTTAATTTTTTCCAACTACTGTCCTCCTGGATATTGTACGGTTGATTTTATATAACGCTTTTCATTCTCGTAGGATTAAGAGCATGGCTCTATAATGCGGCTTTTACATATTATTTTATATAATATAATATTTTATTGCTACTGACTGATTTTGCCGATCATTTCTCAGTTCAAATAGCTATGCTGTCTGCAGAAGATTGCAAGACCAATCGTGTTACATGCAGAAAACTAAACATATTCAACCTCGAAGAAGATTATTCTAGAAAGGATGAATCTGACTGCAGGGCAACAGAGACTCCAAAATGGGCTAAAAAAATAGTGCACTACTTTAACCGCCATATTAATGAAACAGTCAAGGTTAGTGGTGTGCGAGTTTGTGGAGGCAGGGGAGAGCTTCGAGCATGATTTAATCGATATTATACTTACATCATAAAAAAAAAATTACCACAAGGCTAGGACTCATGCGTCTGCATGTGAGTGAGTGGGTGTACTATGCAAAAATTTGCCTGATGTGTGTTGAATACACGACTTGTACTACGTGGAAATAATATAGGTAAAACTGGCCCCTAAAAATGGTCCTGGAAAAAGTGGCCCCGGAAAGAAATGTCCCCTGTAAAAATGGCCCAAAATGACAGGTAGGTAAAAATGGCCTCCAATGATAAAAATTAGTCCAAAAAAACTAATGTTTGTACTTAAATTCTGCAAAATAGCAAAACTTTATATATTTTAGAAAAAATAGTTAAGGTACAGAGTACCTTCATTGTTTATTATTGAAGTTTAAGTTAAAAATCAACTAATATATTAAAGTTTTATTTTATATTTAGTAATAAAATTATAAACTAAATAATACAAGTTTATTATACGTTGTTATTAGTTTAATATAATATTTTATATTTACATAGCGCTTAATGCCAACAAGGCCTCTAAGGACACAAGCGAAATGCACAGCAAGAGGATTGAAACCCCGACCTCGAGGTTGTAACCAAACCGTTCCCACTGCGCCAAACCACTTAATGTGTTTAAATGAAATTATAACAGCCCTTTTTTAAATAACTAATGAACTACCCACTTAATCAAAATGTATTTGTTAAAATACAGTTAGTAAAATATAACTTTAACTATTAAAGTGATCTAGTAACATTTTGTTAATTTTTATTAACAATTTTTGAATGACAGAGGCGTCTCTTTAAAAAGAATAAACTATCGATTAAATTATTTTAATTTAAAAAAAAAACATGATACGTTGATTGATGAAATTATTTATTTAGAAACAACCCAAAACAAATTATGCATATTACTGAATTTTATATGTAGAAGTTGCAATAAAGCAAAATTATTACCTATTTTGTTTAATCTATGAATTTTTATATAGTTACTGCAAAAAGTAATATAAATGGCAACTTATTTTGATTCTTTTAATAATAACAAAAATTTAGTTTTAATAGAATTCATGATTTATGTTGATTTATTGATTCATTTTTGCCATTTTACAGCATTTAAGTATTTGGAAGATTAAAAAAAAATTATTACTCTATTTTACACACTGCGGACAATTTTTACCTACATGACATTTGCAGCCATTTTTACCAGGGCCATTTTTCCGGGTCCAGTTTTCCGGGGGCCTTTTTTATCCACCAAATAAATATAACGACCACATTAAAACCCAACCCCCCCCCCCCCAAAAAATAATAATAGATAGCTATTGAACCAATCCGGCGTAGCCGAGGAAATTTCTCGCTCCTGTTCACGCCCTTCCGTTTCGCGTTCATTTTAAAGCCTTATACGGTACCTTATAAGGTTCCCGAGAACCGAACACTTGGTGGCAGCACGGTCTGTTGCTACCCAGTTGCTCTGGCGCTACCACAGAGAAAAGAATACTGTTTAATATATAATAAAATTCCATTTAAGTGTTGCAAATACATTCAATTTATGGTTCTCGATTGATCACTCATCACTCGGCGGGATTCAGCGGCTGAATCTTGGATTAAGCATAGGTGATAAACTAAACTAGACCAAAAATGGTTACGTCATACACACAAAAAGAAAAAAAAATAACGATAGCTCTCTATTATAAAATTTACCATACTACATACCTCTATTTTAACTCCATACTCACAGGCAGTGAAACAACGATATCTATTATGTACCCGAGGCCATTCACTCAAGCATACAACTAAGCACGAGACAACTCAAATTATTACAGTATTTGATTCCGATAGGCCACGGGCTCACACCGGACTTGTCGCAAATAGAGATATCTTAGTTTTAAATTAGCTACCTCTAACAGAGATATCTCTATTTAATACCAATATATCCCTTATTTTGTCTATGGTGCCTATAAATGGCCGAAATAGAACTTTTAAACTTAAATTTGAATGCAATTTTCTTTTCTTGTCACACTCCCCGCTCTCTAGATATGTCCCGCGTTTTAACGCTCGGTGTTGGAATGTTTGTTTATTGTACATTAGTGAAAAATTGAAATCACATACAGTAGGCCTATTTAGCAAACACTCGTTACAAACTGTTTACTTATTAGTAAATATTTAATAGCCATTTATGAATGAACATTCTTTGTATTTCCAAAAGCAAGATTGTAACTGGTTATTTATTTCAAAATTTATTCAAAAATACGGTTGAATTTTGCAGCAGAAACGGGGCCCATAATAAAGCACAGTCAAATATTTATGGGGAAAATGTGTAGTTATTTAACCACTTTTATGAGTATCTCTTCTGGGACTATCAAAGCTTAAAATAAAATGTTGCCTAAAATTGTCACTGAATATTTGTTTAAAGAACGTTATAAAACTGAATGAAGCGTAAATTATCTTATAGACCAACTTACCCACACGCCTCATAGACTTTCCCTATTCTAAAAAAAATAATAACTTTCCAATGATATTCTCACTCTATATCTAACAGGATTCAGGTAAAAATGGAAGAAAAATAACAGTTGGGATTAAGCAGTTGTTAAGGATGTTGATGTATTCATTAATTGAATTGCCTTGCGAACGACTCGATTGCAAGAAGTTAAGCACTGACGTCATCGAAGCCTTCGAGTATTTTCCTAAACCAGCAAATACCACTTTAACTTGTAAATTGAACCAGGTTTGCAAGATTGAAAATTTTTTTTATTCACAATAATATATATATTTATTTATTTATATATATGTTATATATATATATGCCTATATATAATGAAATAAGTTGCTGCATAGGCTGCAAAGTCAAATAAATAAGAAATAAAACAAAGTTTACGTATCTGCATCAGAAAAATGTATTTATTCTGAGGCAGATACATAAACTTTTTTTAATTTTGTTTATAACTAGCCTGATGTCTTAACCACTAGGCAACCGAGCTTGTGCTTGGTGGCTAGTGATGAATCCGATCCCCAGTAGCAGTGGGTCACTGCACTTGCAAGCATTTTTTTCGTAAGTATTTGGGAATGTACTGAGTATTCAGTACATATAACGCGCCAGGTGGGGGAAAACATCACTTCGTATTATTTCTGCTGACGCAAATGCCATCGGAATAGCATTGCAGTACCGTTACTAAGAATCTGATTCATCACTAGCCACATAATCATATTCACTGACGGAAACGGCGCCATCATCACCATCATCGTCATCATCGTAATCATCATCATCATCATCATTATTATTATTAGTAGTAGTAGTTAATCGGTGGCCATATTCACTTACAGTCAATGTTATCTATATTTTTCAGCGTTGGAAAATTGAACAAGAGGAACAAGCAATGTACATTATAGATTGTATCCTGCGAGCGAGCACATTGCTGTCCTTCAACATATGCGACAAAGTGGACAATGATATGCCACAGAAGCTCGAACAGAAGCCCTAGACCTTTGGATAGACTTCTTTTGAGATGGGCGTTTTTTTCTACAAGGGCCAAATTCTACAATTCCAAATTCTGTTTAATACTTTTTAACTTTTAGCCATGCTGGTTAATATGGATACTCATACGCTATCTGAATCTGAAAAGGCGGGCCAAATCGGCCCAAGTCAAACTCGGTCCCAAGTCAACTCGGCCCCAAGCCAATTCAGCCCAATGTCAACTCGGCCTCATGTCAACTCGGCCCCAAGTCAACTCGGCCCCAAGAAGGCAACTCGGTCGCAAGGCAACTTAATCATCATCATAAACAAAGATGACTTTTTTTTTCTCTTTCATCAACTAATTTTATCCAGTGCTTGTATAAGTCAGGACGATTTTGAAAAACATTTAATACAATGTATATTGAAGGTTATTGTATGTTGTACAATTGAAAATTGAAATCGTTGATCATTGTAAGTATCTGGGCATTGTCTTTAATATTAATAGATTGAACTGGAGTAGCCATATTGATTTTTATGTGTAAAATATTGAATCATGATGTATTGCTTGAGAATTTTATATACATTTGACTCCAGTGAACCTCAGTATGTTGCATGCATTCTTCTTTATAGATCTAGTAAATTTATTTTTTAGACGTATTTCCTTGCGTGTTGGGCTGGTGATGCTGCCGTGGACAAAGAACGCTTTTGAACTTTCAGTAAAGTGATTGGTTTTGATTTTCCTCCCATTAGTGAGGCGTATTTAGCTTATCATCAGAAAAACTTTAATAGTATTGAGTTAGAAACCTCTCCTCTCCATCATGCTATTATAAACCAACTTAATCAAAGTGGTAGAATGAGGCTACGCAACGCGAATAAGACATCGCTATGCCAAGTCCTTTATACCCTCCGGCATCACCCAGTCCAATAATTCAAGAAGACAACAATTATTGTAATGTTTTATTGTACTTGATAATATCTTAAATAATATTTTTATACATTAAAAAATGTATTATGTATTTTAAAAAAAGATATAAAATGACCTTGTACAATGATTGTTATTTTTCAGCCTCCATTTTCAGCCTCCATTGAGATCCATGGCTAAATGGAAAAAAAGGATTAGCCTTTATCTTGTGATTAATCTCTTAGGTTATCACACTTACACATAAGCAATCCTTGACTGATGCACATTTATTTTATAATGTTATGCCATAAGTTATATAGTGGGCTACGAATAATGTTATATTTCATGATTTTGAACATTTTCACGCTTTTCCCGTTAAAATTGGATAAGTACTTACGAAGATATGATATTAATCACTGTTTTTGGTAAGGTTTTAGTCAGCTATTCAATATAATACCTTTCTGCGGATAGCCATTCAAGCAAGGCATTACCTATCAGCCAGAGATGAATAGAAACGCATTTGCCAAGAAGATGCAATTGTTTGTGGGCCTAGGCTATATTACTATAATTGTAAGGAGGTGTTCTGATGGACATTTTTTAGGGACCTATGTATTATACACTTTACAATTATTATTATTATTATTATTATTATTATTATTATTATTATTATTATTATTATTATTATTATTAGCATATATTATTAGAATATAGCAAGCAAGAGAAACGTTTTATTTATTTATTTATTGTATAGTCTTCTGTGTCACTATAGTACCTATGTTGACGTGTTTTTTTTTTTGGGGGGGGGCGGGGTTTTCTTCTTTTTTTTGTGCATGTTAGGATTGTATATTATGTTATTGTCATTTTCTTTTTATGACCCTAATATGCTCATCTGTGTTTGGATTTTTTTTATATTTGTAGCAAACTTTACATTGTTGTCACAGTAAATCATTGAATATAGCTTGCTATCAAATAATCATGTCCCAATGTCTAGTTGTGGGAATGGTCAACAAACAATTATTTAACATTAATTTGGTAGTTAATTCCAGTAAACAATGTATTCACAAATAACTTTAGAAGGCTGTTTAATTTAAATAATGTTTATCTACTTTCATTCAATAGACTTTTTGAAATGTAGCAAGATCTACACTATGGTTTTCTGCAGTTTCATTTCCGTGTTGATAGGCGGCCCAGTGTAAAA